AACCTAAATTTTTATTCTACAGAACGTATCCGGATTGTTGTCTTTACAAGAAGAAAATATTTTTTATTAGATATTAATATTTTTTATGAAAAAATTTGCTTGCTCTAAAACTGTTCAAAATCTTGTTTAAGCTTTTCCAAATTTTCTTACCGTTTTAATAAATGAAACGAAATAAAACATAAATAAATGAAACGTAATATGAAAATAAAGTTCAAATCATTTTTTAGGTTTTCATTCTTTCATGATTTTTGCTGTTTTAATCTGTTTAAGAAACATAAAATATAATAAAATGATTTAGTTCAATGCTACGGAAAAGGCGATTATACATTTTAAGAAAACGAAATTATATTACCCTAGAAACGCCTTTTTATTTTTGGGAAAAACTATATTTATACTAGGTGCGTGTCAAACATGGCTCATCCCCATGGTACAAAGAATACAAGGTATGATATTGCGCAGGTTGGTCGCTACGTCACAGGTGATAACAGGCGCTATTGGTCAGCACGCTCCGCGCGCCAGTTCAAATCGTCAAGATATTGTTATAAACCTGTTTTTTTGTTTATATACCGTCATTGAATTATCGCTAAGCAAGTTACTGTGGAGCAGTGAGTAAGGAGTCGGGCTAGGAAGCGAGAGACCAGAGTTCGAATCTCGGCCGGGACATAACTTTTTATTTATTTTTTTAAATACTGTTGTATTCTATAGTTTATTTTTGTAGTATAAAAAAAAAGAACTATTTATTCTGTTATTTTTTAATCTCCGGTATTAATACAAATTGACTGTTGGTACAATACCTCATTTAATATAAAATAATATTCTACTTTTTGAAATGTATCGGGCCCTAATTATAACTAAAAGTAATATATTTTTAATGATATACCATATTGTAAACTATTTAATATTTCAGTCACTTAAAAAGTTAATTTGCATTGAATAATTGCCTACCATTAAAGGAAATTTGAGCTAATAATCCTTGATGGGCATATTCTGGGTATGCAAATACTTCCTCTAAATTTTGGGTTTCGTTCAACCGATTTATTCTCAAAACCTGAAACATCTACATATAAAAAGAAGCACAGGTCACTAATTATAATAAACTTCACCCTTGGAATTACTTCCACTAATTATAATAAACTTCACCCTTGGAATTACTTCTATCACAATTACAATACATTCATCTGCATTGGCATTTTCTACTTTTCGATGGAAAATAATAAAATTCCCAACATTTTTTAAATGATGTAACAATTCCTCTTGTGGTTACATTTCCATATATATCCTCATCTCTGTCCTCATGTGAAATCAGAGGCAATGAACATGAAAATTATTTACCATAAACATCGCAAACTAAAAACTTAATAAACAATTTTATAGGTACCGAATATAGAAATAAATTTAGTATTCTTACCTATTATGGTCCAAAGTCCAAATCCATGTTAATAGATAATTATTATTTTTAAATATATTTTTTTGGAACTTCTGGTTTTAGTAATTATTAAATTAAACGAACTAAAAAGTCTTAAAAATAAACAATTCTTAACCATAACCCCAAAAAATGCAGATCTCCTGTCAACTTTCTTTATTTTTTATTTATTTCTCATTTTCCTAGTGACGTCACAGGTGGTATGCGCGAACTAAACACAATTGGAGCCGCTATCGATCATACCTTGTATTCTTTGTACCATGGCTCATCCCTATAACTTTTTTATTTTTTGCAGATAAAAAACGAGATTTGGTATGTTCGGATACGACATAAATTAGGATTGATTGACGTATTAAATTGTTTTTGGTTACTTCCTGTTTCACCGGAAATGACTAAATTTGATTTTTAAATGCCACCCTCGGTATAAAACTATACCGAGGGTCCGTACCGTTTTATTCAATAAAAAATGACACTCTGAATTATAGAATTACATATCATATGTCAACTTTTGACATTCCTGCTTAAAAAAATCGTATTTTTAATTTCAATTTAGTGAAATTGAAATTATTGGATGTGTTATAAATACTAATTTTTGATCAAGGAGCAAGGCAAATTAAAAATTTAAAATTTGAAAATCAAAAAAATGCTCAATCGTTTTTTAATCATATCTCAAATTTTTTAAATGAACGAGGATGGCTACTTATCATATTTTAAAAAAGCATTTTTTAAGAATAATTTGGTACCACATACAAATAAAATAAAAATAATACTAGTCAAATTGTCGTTATGACATGTTACAATTTCAAAACGCATGTTACAATTTCAAATAAACCATATTCGAAAATGTCAAACGTTGACATATGATATGTCATTCTATTCAGAGTGTCATTTTCTATCTAGTAAAGTAAAAAAATACCGAGGGTATCACTTAAAAATCAAAAGTTTAGTTATTTCCGGTAAAACAGGAAGTGACCGAAGACCATTGAATACGTCAATCAATCCTAATTTATGTAATATACAGGGTGGTCCGAACTGTATTCCGGAAACTTCGGCGGCGTATTCTGCAGATAAAAATAAGTAAAAAAGTTCGTATAAATGTATGTCCTAAAATGCTTAGTTTCGGAGATACAGGGTGTAGAAGTTTCATTTTTATTTCGATTTTTTCCAAATAATTTCTGAAGTAACATTAATATTTGGATGAAAATTGATTTCTGGGAGTTTTTTGATATGAGAAATTTGATTTTGATGTCAATATGACTCCTACTTGTAGAGGGGCACCTACATATGTTTTAACTGGTTTGAAGAGTAATAACTTTTCGCCCGTACCTGTATAAAACTACCGAGGAAAAGAATATACATTAATGAACTTTTTTACGTAAAAAAAGTCTCTTAGTAAAAATCGCTACGAGTAATAGTTCTCGAGATAATTGGAATCGAAATTATCAATACCTGTCATAATTGACATAAATTAAACATGTTGACTAAATACCGTATGATCGAGAAAAAACGGCGTCAGCGATGGCTATGGAATGAAGATCGCTGTCATTTTAAATGTAAATTTATATGGGAAATGTCATTGATGTTCATTTCCCAGCCAACTGGACGCCGTTTTTTTTCGATCATACGGTAGTTATTAGGCAGAAATCGTAAATTTGAAATGTTTTGCTGCCAAAAGTTCAACAGAAACTATTTTATCATCATTTTTTCGAAGAAAAATTTATGATTAATTTAAAAAAATAAACAGTTCCCAAATTTATTATTTTAGTCAAAGAAAACTATCTACTCAACATGTTTATTTTTGTCAATAATGATTATGATATAATGAATTGGCTGTTCCCATTCTAAATATCTTGAGAAGGGTTGCTCGTAGCGATTTTTACCAAGAGACATTTTTTACGTAAAAAATCACGGAAATGTATATTTTTTCACTCAGTTGTTTTATACAGCTACGGACGAAAAGTTATTATTCTTCAAAGTGATAAAATACACGTAAATAGGTGTCATATTGACACCAAAATCAAATTCCTCATGTCAAAAAACTCACAGACCAATTTTCATCCAAATATTGACGTTACTTTAGAAGTTATTTAGAAAAAATCGAAATAAAAATGAAACTTCTACACCCTGTATCTTCGGAACTAAGCATTTTAAGACATACATTTATACAAACTTTTTACATATTTTTATCTGCAGAATATGCTGCTTAAGTTTCCGGAATACAGTTCGGACCACCCTGTATATTAACATACCAAATCTCGTTTTTTAATCTGAAAAAATAAAAAAGTTATAGAGGTGAGCCACTTTTGAGACGCACCCGGTGTATATATTTAAAGTAGTAAAAAACTTTAAATATAGGACTTGTAAGGTTTTACCTGAACCGCTAGAAAGTGAAATAAAAATAATAAAACCACCAGAAAATTCAGAAAAATGTATAACTTTACCTTTTCAATAAAACACCCTCTATATTTTAATTTTATACCTCCGTATTTTAAATTATTTTTGTTCAATCAATGCACCCGATTGGAAGGTCTTTATAATGCCGGTACATCAACGCTAAACGTCGATGTTGACATCACATATTGTGATGAATGAATTTTAATTTTTTCAAGTTGATATAGGTATTCTAAGTGAGATAATATTATCAAAAATAGAATTTCTAAAGGTTACTTTTTACCACTTACATTATTTCAATTCTAGCCCTGTCTGCGGCGCAAAAAAAACTAAACCATAATATCAAAAAAAACTTTAACAAAATCCTCAGACGATGCAGGTGTACTGTGAAACAGTAAAAACTGTTAAAACCAATGACTAAAGAATACAAGGACATATAACACCCGAGACCAAAGTGTTACCATGGCTCCAAACAGTGCCATGGCCATATGTTTTTCTTAACTTAGCTGCTTGAAGGGATATTTATGTTTTTGATAAATGTTTTGACTACGCCTATGGTGTATGCAGTGATATCATACTAAATAATTACCAAAAAAAAACGTATTAAAATACAAACAAAAGGTACAAAACTAGTATTGACGTATAGCACATATCAAGTACATATAGTATCAGAAAAAAAATTACCAAATTCAATAAGAAAGCGCTAAAAAGGTGGAGTGGACTCTTTATTTACTTATATGAAACGTAACTCCTGACTCTTTTTTATTGTTGCCGCTTTTACACTTGAAAGCTGAACACATCACCATTGTAATAAAGTTTATACAAAGTTCACTACACACAAAAAATTATTAAAAATCGCTAAAATTGTCGCTGTTGACGAGGTGGTGATTCATCCATAGGCTCCAAAACGATGGCGTCTAAAAGCACAAACTCTGCTGCAGCCCGTATATGGGCGTTACATGTCCTTGTATTATTTAGTCATTGGTTAAAACAATTTATGTTTTACACTAATTTTATTATATTCAATTCAACGATATTTTACTTCCATTCCCAGCATGCTTTCCAAAGCTTTTATTTTTATTCCTTTTTTCCATTTATTTCCCGTCCTACGTTCTCTAATTCCGTTAGAAAAAAACGAGCCAATCGGATTACAGTCGTTCGTTACATTTTCCTCTTGTTGTTGCAGTGAATTCTGGAGCCCAAACACCCCTCTGGGCATCCCTCGAGAGTCCAAATGAAGGGGCGGCACCAGTTCAGGAGAAGGTTCAGTCTGCAGCCGTCGTTTCTCAAAGAGGAGCCGGACGAGGACAGCAGACATCACAATGCCAACAAGTGAGTGTTCCTAATTTTAGAGTACGGCCACACGGAACGCGATTAGTGCGAGATAAACGCCCGTTTAACGACGTTTAAAACTATTTCTGCTATTTTATTATATTTTATATGTTTTATTTTGAGAGCCACTAATAAATTCTTCATATATTAGGGAAACTTAACTCTCTACCGCTATTTGTAAATCTTGGAAGCTTTCCTATCGGAAGTCTTAAACATTCCTTTAGCTAATTTACGTGAAATACACTTTCAGCAAGATGGGGCTCCCCCTCACAACTAAACTAACAACGATAATATTAGAATTTTGCACATTGTTAAATTATTATTTCTCAAATCAATGAATTGGAACCAATGGACCCATATGATGGCCTCCCAGAATCCCGGATTTGGCCGTTCTTGATTTTTGAAATATGAAATATATCGTGGCAACTAATACAATGGTACCCTCGATATTTTTATCTTTAATCGATAGAAAATGACATGATAAATCTGAATAGAATGAAAGTAGAATGACAGTAAATAGAATGACATATCATATGTCAACTTTTGACCTTCTCGCTTAAAAAATCGTATTTTAAATTTCAATTTAGAGTACCATGGCTGTGTTAAAAACACAAATTTTTAATCAAGGAGCCTTGGAACTGTAATAACTCAATCATAACACAATGTTTTTCAAATTGAACGAGTGTGGCTCATTAGCATATTTGGAAAAAGTATTTTTTACGAATAATTTTATACTGCACACTTGGTATTTGAGGTAAATTTTCATACCATTTATGACCATGGCACTCTAAATTTAAATTTAAAATGCTATTTTTTTTAATTGAAAATGTTTAAATTTATATGCCATATGATATGATTAATATTCAGAATATAATTTTCTATAAAATGTGTGCATGTTGCTCTTCGTATTGATGACTTAACGTGCGTCCAGACCTGACGAGACGAGAGCGAAACGAGCACAAAACTGCTTCCATCCATTTTTTGAGATACGCCTGCCAAGAACCAAGCAAGCATGCATAGCCACTGCTATCTCGCAGTCAAACGATCCAACGGCAAACACGTCCAGACTGTGCCGCGATCTTTCTTTGATCGGTCGTCGAAAAACCGACAGAGGACGGATAGCAACGAAGCTCCGTGGATTGTCACGCGAGGCTCGTCCACACTTATTAAGGGGAACCCGTCCACACTTAGCGATTGTGGAATCTCTCGCGCTCGTCTTGTCAGGTCTGGACGCACCTTTAGATTTATCAGTATGGGTAACTTTCATAATTTTTTAAAATTTACATGGGATTTCCTATGACAAGGTCGACGATACAACACACAGTATATTCGTATTATTTTGTTTCTAGTCGCAAAACGCTTTAAATATGTTAAACCGCTTTAGTCGCTTTCTGTGTGGTCGTATACCAAGTACCTATTACTATATAGTTTTAAACCGGATTTTTAGATTTCAGCCTTGTGAGTTTCAGTTTTTTTTGACAGTTTAAAAACAACAGCACCCATTACAAAAAATCATTTATCTCAAAAATTAAATTTGTCTTATATTTTACATTAAACCAAATTAAATAAATCAGTAAATATCAATAATTTTCAAATATTTTTTTTCTAGAATTCTGTTTGAATCAAATTATAAACATGCAAAATAAAAGTTCTGACTATCAAAAATATGGTTTAACTGGTCTAGGTTTTACTAACCTAACAATATTTTGGTTTCTGTTTATACAGGGGTATTTTAAAAAGTTCAAAAAATTGGTAGGTGGTTTAACTTTCGTATATTGACTTTGAATCAAAAGTCAACAAGATATTCTTTTTTATCTTACCGATTGGAATTTAAAAAAAGCGTAAATTCATTAATGAGACTGAATATTTAATATCTGATGATAAGTATTTCATATTAATGATAACGATTTTCCTACCTAAAAAGCTCATTCTTCTATAATTCGAGAATTAGTATTTTTCTATAAAATAAAATATATTTTTTTCTGTAACATTAGTTGCCAGTTATTATATTATTTACAATACGAAGCAGAAACTTAATTATTATTTTTTTCAGTGTCTTTTTTATACGAAATTAGACATCACTAGCCAGCTTGCATAAATCATAATACGTCGTGCTATGATACACGGTTTATCTATTAATAAATTTAGAACATGTTAAGAATAGGCTAGTTCTTTTAGGGCATATTTTTTGCGCTTATGTATAGTTTTTTGGATTTTCTGTTATTGCAATTTGACGTAATTGAAACTCGTCTTTGACTAACAAAACACAAAAATAAATCACAAGAACGATTTGGGTAAATTTAAATTCCAGTAAAGAAAATTCGGAAGTGGAATATGTAAATTGGTGTCAAATGTCTACACTAGTTTATCAAGTTCTACACTAGTACAATTTTCAATAAAACAATATATGATTAACTGTAGAAAATTTAAATTACTGATATTTATCGTATACAAAATAAATTTAGGACTATTTTAAAATTATTTTATAGAGATGAATTAAACCTAAAGCTTAAAATATTAGAAATGCTTTGAAGAGCAAACGGTCTTTCTCTTTAAACCAGACAATAGGATTAAACAAGACGTAAAATCCTCCTTCGACCTTAATATTGTACGAACCATAGAATATAGCCGATGACATTTAAACCCTTTTGAAACAAGACTTAATCAAGCATGTACCAATTAATTAGAAGGGTTTCAAATCTAAAGTCTCAATTGTTATAACAATGTTTTAAATGTAGCACAATAAAAGATAAAATAAAAGACATACTTTAACATATTATTTAGTAATAATAAGTTAAAGTAAATTGTAAAATAATAATACAATAAATTAGTAGGTAAATATTTTTATGCTTATAAATAGTTTATATACCGGGTGCGTCTCAAAAGTGGCTCACCACTATAACTTTTTTATTTTTTTAGATAAAACAACGAGATTTGGTATGTTAGTATATGACATAAATTGGGATTGATTGACGTATTCAATTGTTTTCGGTTACTTCCGGTTTCACCGGAAATGACTACAATTTTTGGTTTTCAAATGGCACCCTCGGTATTTTTTTACTTTATTCGACAGAAAATGACACTCTGAATCGGCATATCATGTGTCAACTTTTGACATTTTAGTATATGGTTTATTTGATATTGTAACATGCGGTTCATAACGACAATTTGACACGAAATACCAAGTGTGTGGTATCAAATTATTCGTAAAAAATGCCTTTTCCAAATATGCTAATGAGCCACCCTCGTCCCATTTGAAAAAATTGAGATATGATTAAAAATACGATTTGGGCATCTTTTAACCCGCCAGGACAAGACACTTAAAACATTAGATGATCAAATCTATTTTTCCAAGGCTCTTTGATTAAAAATTAGTATTTTTAACACAGCCATGGTATAACACACTCTAGATTGAAATTTAAAATACAATTTTTTTTTGAGTGACTATGTCAAAAGTTGACATGTGATATGTTATTCGATTCAGAGTGTCATTTTCTATCAAATAAAGGAAAAAAATACCGAAGGTGCCATTTAAAAATCAAAAGTTGTAGTCATTTTCGTCGAAACCGGAAGTGATCGAAAACAATTGAATACGTCAATCAATCCCAATTTATGTCATATACTAACATACCAAATCTCGTTGTTTTATCTGAAAAAAATAAAAAAGTTATAGGGGTGAGCCACTTTTGACACGCACCCTGTATAGCAAAATAACACACTAATTTACCACAATACACCAAAACACTTTACTTTTGCACTTGACGCACGTTTAGCTAACCATCATCAGCAGACGATTAAAGCTAAACTAATAGCTACAACCGTTTCGAACTAAATGAAGAGTGCCTTTTTGACATAAAAAATCTTAGCTTTAATTTTCCTTTGTTGAAATTATTGTATCTATAAGGATAAAAGAAGTAACACCCAGTAGTTTTTTTTTCAATAACAAGGGGCCGTCCTCTGCCGGAAACACTGCGACCTGTGAGGCCTATGGTGTTTGGCCCTTTTCTATATCTGCACCCATTCTCCTATCCCTGTACTCTGCACTAACTTATGCAGGTCTTTGATAGGATGGGAGCATAGTTCCTCCGATTCTAGCCTAGCTTTCCCAAATAAAAAGTGTCGCTTGCGATCCAGAGCCTCGCAGTGACATATTATGTGCTCCGCTGTTTCAGGATCTTTTTTGCAGAGTCTGCAGCAAAGACTTACATCCTTGATACAGGTTGAACTTGTTTAGGTAACACTTGACAGCCATGTGTCTTGTCAAGAGGCCTGTTGTGTACCACCAGTAGTACTCTGTACCTTAATGAAAAGCACCTACCACCTCAAGGGTAATACGGAATTTCAAACTGTAGCTATTCGCTTTGGCACTAAAATGTGTGTAAGAGGACGAACTTTCAAGAAAAACGGTTTACCGAGGTGTAAACAGCTGACCCAAATTCTGTACACTAAACCTCCTAATAGCTAAAAAATTCCTGAATACCTCCTGGGAAATCCCATATATATTTTTTGGGAATTCCTGATACTATTGAGCATACGAAATTTGTAATTAGTTTCAAACTTTACAGAAAGTTGTAAAAAGTATCCAAAATCGACTCGATAAAAAAAAATTTGGTTTGGTTTGGTTTGCTCATTAGTTTGGTCCGATTTCTATTCTTAAATCATCTATCTCTTACTCTTGATTTTCAAATATACTTTCTTCGGCTATTTGCGAATCATCAATGACAGATTCATTTTCATCACCTACTGCAGATTGTTCTTCTGAATTTTTTGGTATAGTGATCGAGTTCCATGAAAAATTTTCAACTTGCATTCCCAGCTTTTCAGTTACAGCAAATGCTTCCTGCAAAGAGTCCATCACAGTATTCTCAATGTATTTATCAGTAAATATATTCACCTCATTATGCACTCTGCGCTTCAATGTGTGCATCGTTTTGGCCCTTAGAACGAACTCTTTCAAATCTTTTCTGCTCTCTTGGGAAACGTATTATAGCTCTTAAATC